CCCCCCCCCCCCCCCCCCCCCCCCCCCCCCCCCCCCCCCTGCGCCACCGTTCTCCACCGCCATGACTGTCATCTTTCCCGGTAAACTATTCTCTCTCTCTCTCTCTCTTTCTCTCGTTTTGCCTGTAAATCTTAATGCAGGCAATATTGTTGTGATCTATTATTGTACAAGCACTGATGCATTTGGCTTTTCATTTCTGTTTTTTAAGTTTCATCAGCACAAGAGCTTGACAACAACAACAATAATGGCAATAAAACCACCAGTAACGACGATGACTTAATCCAAAACGAAGTGGCAGATCGTGACGTGGATTATGATGGAGGTTTTGTTGTCCCAGAAAACAATGCTTTTGGTCATTCTTTCAGGTTTATCCCGCTTAATTTGACAATGGATGGTATATATGGTGTTCAAATCATGTTAAGAATTCTGGCTCCCACGCATGTAAAAGTAACTGTTTTTTTTTTTTTAATAGTTATAACTACAAAGAGATGATGATCATCTTTGTATATATGATGATCATCCACCATGTTGCAGGGACTACGAGAAAGAGAGTCAAAGAAGAGCTTCTGTGGAGGAATTCTACAGAGAGAATCACATTCACCAGACATATGAATTTGTAAAAAAGAAAATGTTATAGAATTCAAATGAAATTTAAAAATTATTTACTCAAATGCATATGATCCATTGAATGAGTATTGAATAAGTGAGTCCTACTGAAAAAGTTGATGAGACACACTCATTTAATGAATGATATGTAATTAGATTATAATTTTTTAAGTTTCATTTAGATCATAAACTTCTCTAATTTATTATTTTAGTTAATGCACGTCACTACACTTATTAAAGCTTTTCTTTAAAATACCCGACTAATTTTCTCGTATACATTTAGTTTTCTCATCCTCTATGTATATATATGGGATAGTTACCATAACGAATATATGCTAATGAAGTTGTTTCAATTTATTGATTGACATTAACCCTAGACCTTGTCCCGATAAATTAATCAATATTTTTTACTCGAGCTCCATCATGGACTATTTACGTTACAACCTCCATAAAAAAGAGGGGTTCTGGTAGAAAAGAACAAAGGATGACGAGTCAAGAGCAACTTCATTAATATATAAAATGGGCCAGGGTGATTTTAAGACGACACGACTCATGAGCACACATACAAGTTTTTACGAACCAAACTTGTCTACCTCTTGAATCATGAGACAATTGTTATCAGGCTTTGAAGAAGAAAGAAGAGTATGGGGAAGCTTGCCAAGGCTGTGATGAGCATATGGGAATGCTGCGAACTCCTCAACGAGTACGTCGACGAGAGTGATCCCGATCTCGACGAGCCGCAGATCGAACTTCTGCTCCTGACTGCTGAAGCCATCAGGAGGGACTACCCAAATGAAGATTGGCTTCATCTCACTGCCCTAATCCATGGTACCGTATGAGTGTGTTTGTTTGGCTGATAAGTGGATTATAAGTAGGTGGGATAGTGTTTATTAGTACCTTGTTCCACATATACTCTGTTTGTTAATTATTTTTAACAAAATACTTAATTTCGGATCTTAATACCAACCCAATATGAATAATGACGGTAAACCCATCTACACATGGGTATATCTAATACCACCTAAGAGGTGGTATTAAAATGAAATAGAAAACTAACAATGGTATTAGATTTTTAAATTACAGTATTGACCATTCTAATACCTAATGTTCTAATTCAAGATAAGGGTATTAAAGTTAATTTATATAAAATAATTTTTTTCTGAATGTTAATACAACTGTAGATCTGGGTAAGGTTCTACTGCACCCTGCATTTGGTGAGGATCCCCAGTGGTGTGTGGTTGGTACGTCTAATGTTTCATCTATAATTGAATTGTGCATGTAACTTCTTCTTTTTTTATTGCAAAAAAAAATCTTCAAAATCATGCATGTTTTGCATTCGTGGTTGCGACATGAATCCAATCTTTTGTTTTTTTTTCTCAAATTCTCTAATGCGTGATGTTTCTTAACGCTTTTCTTAAGTGATTTTTTAGGCAATAATATAATTTCATCAAATACTGAATGCATATTTTGTTATACGGTTTCATTTGATTTAGTGTCAAAACACTAGAAAGTGCAAGAAAATGAAAAAAAAAAGCAACTTTTCTTTTGTTTGATTAGCTAGAAAACATAATTTCCCATGAAATTTTTTTTTCCCTCAAGGGTCAAATTTTTTTGTAAACATCTACTTTGATTTTCCACAAATTGTGCGGAAAAATTTTTGCTTTCCGTGAAAGTTGTCTTATTTTTTCTGTTTTGTCCGCTTACCTTTTTCCCCTTTAAATTTATATGATAATGATAATTTAGTCCAGCAAACTTTTCATTCTAATCAAACGCATGCAAGAAAATAATTTTTTGTTTTCCATTTCATTTTTTTCACTTCACTCTCCNATTTTTGCTTTCCGTGAAAGTTGTCTTATTTTTTCTGTTTTGTCCGCTTACCTTTTTCCCCTTTAAATTTATATGATAATGATAATTTAGTCCAGCAAACTTTTTATTCTAATCAAACGCATGCAAGAAAATAATTTTTTGTTTTCCATTTCATTTTTTTCACTTCACTCTCCATCTTTTTCATTTTCTATCATCGATTTCTTTTTAATAGTTTGTAAAAAATATTTCTATCAATCTTAATACCAGAGGAATATACATACTTATACGTACATATTACCTGAACAAAAAAAATGTAAAACATAAAACAAACGCAATGTAAAAAAAATATTTAAAACATTATATTTTTGAAAATCGTCATTNCTGAACAAAAAAAATGTAAAACATAAAACAAACGCAATGTAAAAAAAATATTTAAAAAATTATAATTTTGAAAATCGTCATANCTTAATACCAGAGGAATATACATACTTATACGTACATATTACCTGAACAAAAAAAATGTAAAACATAAAACAAACGCAATGTAAAAAAAATATTTAAAACATTATATTTTTGAAAATCGTCATTAACATTCAACGGTTCCCAAAAAACACTAGATTTTTTTTTATTGATCGTCGGTCTATTTTGTACAATTTGGCAGTTTTTCAAAGAAAATCCAGACAATCAAAACCCTAGCCCCAACACCGAGCTGGGTATCTATAGTAAGAACTGTGGGTTTGACAAAGTCAAAATGTCATGGGGCCACGATGAGTACATGTTCTTGGTATGCCACGTCACTCTTTGCTCTTCTGCTGCATAGTCCATATTGTTGTTTTAATCTTAATTATGATGTTGACGACAAAAAAAAAAATCAAAAATCAAAAATCACAGGTTGCCAAAGGTAACAACACCACTCTTCCACCAGCTGGCCTCTTCATTATCAGATTCCATTCTTTCTATGGTGAGTCCTCATATTGGGTACTATTGCAATGTGTTAAAACTCTTTGCAACTTTACTTTTCTATTCGTATACTTACCTCAATAAAATTTTGTCCCCATATTTTTGAGGTCGACTAGATGAATATTATTTCGTCATTGTGCTCTATTAAGAATCATGTTTTTAGTTTTTTTTTTTGCTATAAGGTGTCTAAATTTACGCTGACTATTCTCTCGAACTTAGCGACTGACCATAGTAAGCATGTCCTTTTAGGTACAAGGGTGATTAACTCTTAAGAGCTATAGGAAGAGATTAAACCTTAGGCTTCTAAAGTACTAAAGGATAGATCCAACCTGAATTGGCTTCATGTCTTCAAGTAAGATATATTTTGTTTCCTATCTTTTTATATAAGAAATTTTGATGGTCACCACANGAATTGGCTTCATGTCTTCAAGTAAGATATATTTTGTTTCCTATCTTTTTATATAAGAAATTTTGATGGTCACCACAGCAGAACACCTAAGCAATAAGCTTATAGAGATGCTTCTTATTAAGAAAACATGTGGTAAAAACACAATCTATTAAAAACATAAATATATATATGTGCTTAGCAGTGGAATTGAAGTTATCTAATATAATTCAACAAAGAATGCCTAAATCATGTGATTTACTTGTCTGCAAAATCAGTTAAAAGGCTTGCACTATAACTACATATCTGAATCATCAAGTAGTTAAAATGGACACATGAGGGACTTGGAAGATCAGCAAGTAAGCTAAACAAATTCTTAAAATAAATGCGACCATATATTGTGTCCTTGAAAGTGATTTCCTCAGGATTGCAACTGCACCCAAATAAAAATTGCTAATAACAACAATACAAAAATAATAACAATATGGGTCTCGCAAAAAGCTCGCCAAGTTTTTTAATTTTGGCATCTTTAATTGCAGTAAATGCAAAATTCATTTTTGTGGATCAAGCTTGGATTTTGTTTCTTTAAATTTGTCAAAATTGTTTCGGAGTGATTCGAATGCTAAACAAATTGAACTATGTTCTTTGATTGCATATACGTGTAGTAAGGAGCATTTCTATAACTCAAATATCTCACCGTTTTGCACTTCTTCATGGTGCTCGGGCAATGGCAATGCATGTTTGAAGTCACTTTAACCAAATTACAATTGCATCATTATTAGGACTTGTTAAACATTAGGTTCAATCTTATGTTGATCATCCATTATGTAATTTCATTTTGTACTGATTAGCACATTCTTGAGCAGAGGTGTAACAATCAGTTAAACACTTGTACATAAAGTGTTAAAGAAAAATAGAAAAATAGAGAATGATAGACTCTACTTCATAACATTTGGGATCTGGCCTTTGATTTAAACAAATCAAGGAAAAAACAACAACGCTATTTCAAAGGATGCATATAGCTATCCTAGAAAGTTTGGCATGCTATAATGAAGCTCTAGCCTAATGACATGTAGAGTTACTGTTTTGTACTTCAAATAATCATATTTTTATCTCAAAACGTAAAAATTGCATATGCCTCAAAACATGTGTAATCAATTACTACCTCTTATATCATAGAAACAAATGCACTCTTTGTTCTATGTGATCATAATTACTTTTGTTCGACGATTATTTATACATGGATGTATATCAGACAGTCCAATATTGGACACCATCTAATTTATTGAATTTTAGTACCTCTAACAATTGCTGCATTTGAGCTCTCATATTTGATTACAATTGCCGACAAAGTTTCGTTCTCACTATAGAATATATGGGTGCTACACTCCATAACATGGTTCAATATCATAAAACACACATAATATCTCATCTCAGTAATAAGAAAGTATACTAATTTGCCAAGATTTCATAAAATAGAATAACATAGTTCACAGAATTAAGAACTTAACTATGAACAAAACAAAAATTCTTGATTCTTAAAACTGAAGGCCTTGATAACCTTGTATTAAAGAATATATCTAACTCAATATCTATATTGCACACTCGTGTATTGATGCAACATACAGTGTGACCAATGACAAGAAATGAAAAACCTTGTAGTAAAAAATACAATCTAGATCAACAAATGGGGTGAATATCTTAGTCTTCATCATCGACTTCAAATCCCTGGTGACAATGAAAGAACATGAAATTCCCAGACATATTGGTCTTAATAACCTTCTCGACAAACAAGTAAACATAGTAGAAAACCATTAAAATTTAACTAACTACGCCAACATCTGCACCATCAACCAAAGCCGCCATGGTGCTAGATCATGCAATGGTGTCAAAGATTGTTTTCTAGATCTGCAAAGAGAAACCAAAATGAGAAATTGAATATAGCACTCTTCAAGTATTGAAAGAATGTAATGAATATGTACACTGAACAAAAAGGTAGTCAAATAAATGAAAGCCAACTAAGAATTGAGTGTGAAATATGAACTTAAGTTTAAAAGTAAATAGGAAGAAATGGTCTACAATCCACAAATAAAACAGGATTTGGATGACATGACTAATCATATAAAAAATAAAGTGGACTCTAACCACACAATTATTTGTGTTGAGATGAGTCTAACCACTTAAGTCATTGCCAGATATAATATCAATCACTTTGTCGACAACCCATTAAGCAAAGTAGAAACCCATTCCAAATTGTCCGATGATGTTAACATCAAAAACATCAGCAATAGATTCCATGGTCTAGATATGGCAATAGTACCAAAATAGATCACCAAATTTGCCGAGAAACCCAAAATGAGAAAGTAAGGGCCTGTTTGGTTTAGTTTTTAAAAACAGGTTTTCGTTCTCAAAATTCTAAAAATAAGGAGAAGTTGTTTTGTTTGAGTTTTTAGTTCTCTAATTTTCAAAAAAAGAGGGATTTAAAGAACAAAAAATAGAAAACAAGCTAAACTTGTTTTGGGTGTTTTGAAGACAAAAGAAGGAAAACACCAAGAACAATTNAGGTTTTCGTTCTCAAAATTCTAAAAATAAGGAGAAGTTGTTTTGTTTGATTTTTTAGTTCTCTAATTTTCAAAAAAAGAGGGATTTAAAGAACAAAAAATAGAAAACAAGCTAAACTTGTTTTGGGTGTTTTGAAGACAAAAGAAGGAAAACACCAAGAACAATTGAACTCTTTAATGATGTCACCCGTTTGAATCGCCTTAGAAGCAAAACAAGTCATACTATAAAATCTTTTTTTTTTCTTTTGCCTTTCTCTCTCCCAGACTCTCACTCTCCCCATTTTTCTCTCTCTCCATAAACACTCTTAAATGGAACGTCTTCTCTGGCGACTGCGTCTTCTCCACCAAAACACACACACACACACACACACACACACATACACACACACACAGCATCTTCTTCGACGACTGGATCTACTTTGAAACACAAACACACACAACTATTTTTTGGTTCAGATCTGGTTTTTTATCTAGTTCAATCAACAATTAAACACATATCTGATTTTGTTTTTTTAATCTAATCTAATTTTTTCGGTTCAAATTTGATTATACATATAAAACCCAATAAACCAAAGGGCTTCAGACTTTGATTTTTTGGTTTAGATCTAATTTTTTATCTGGTACAATCGGCGATCAAACACATCTAATTTTTTTGGTTCAAATCTGGTTATATATATATATAAACCAAGGGGCTTCAGATCTCAAGATTTTTGGTTCATTGATACTGCATCTATTATTGATTTGAGATTTTTTGATATTGATTTCGTTATTGGCATTGTCATTGATCTAAGATTTTTTGGTTCAAAAAAATTTATTGGTGTTTGGTTGGTTGAATTTATACATAAATTGATATTGAATTTGTTATAAATTGAAGATCATTGAATTTTCTTATATTTTAAAGTTTGGTTTATTGAATTTCTTATGAAAATGTCCATCTAAAAAAAAACTTCCTCATATTTTTTTTATTAATTTTTGAATTATTGTCCAACCATATATTTAAGCTATCCAAACAAGTTTTACTGTTTTCTGTTCTTTAATATTGTTTTTGAAATTATCTAACCAAACAAGTTTTCCGTCTCATAAAACATCAAAAATGTTTTTCTAAAACTCTTTTCAAAAATTATTTTCATATACTGTTTCCTATTACACAAACCAAATAGCGCCTAAATGCAATAGTCTTGAATATTGTAATACTGTGATGAATGCCATTGACAGTTGCTTAGAATAACCTACTCACCTGCCTTGGCCACTCTAATTCTAGGGTCAATGTTGAAGAGATTAGGTTGGCCATCAATATTGCTCTCCTTAGCCAAACTATTGAAGAGAACTTTTCCCAAAAGTTAATTTGATGTGATGGAGGAAATGACTGTCAAATACGAGGTTAAGATGGAAAATAGAAAGGCGACCTTTGGAATTAGGGATAATTAATTAATATACATTAATTTTTAAAAAAATCAAGCGATAAAAAGAGAATAAAGGACATCAAAATTGAAATTGTAAAATTTTGAGATTTGCTGCACTTAACATTTGGTATTTTTCCCACAAAATAATTGTCCCATGTGAATCTTTACAATTGCTAGCCTGAGCATTTTACTATTGCCTAAGGCAATGATCCCATAGAAATCAAAACTTCAACATACATTTTATTTTAAACTCGTTTAGAATTGGAGTCAAAAGTTCATTGTAACTTAGAGCTCTAGAGGTTATATGAATCAGACAACAAACAAAATCAACAACCACAATCAACTACAATGGGTAATTAAAAAGCAGTTATAATCTGGTAAAACTTAATAGGCCCCTTGTTAGTATGATTTAGCCATTATGATGATGCAACAAAATAACAAAAACATGGGTATGATAACTTAATCGGAAACCAGAGTCAATTCTAGAAAAAGACCACGTAGTGGACAACCTCCAAAAAAGGCAAAAATCATACTGGGTAACTGGATTTGGGAACCTACCTAATGAAGGAAACAACACTTTCGTATAAGTGGAGGAGCAGGTTAATAAGGACCATATAAAAGGGAACATATTCTTGTTGAGTCCATCTTTTCTCCGGATATGTCTAAAATAAATTTGGCATTGTCACTAAGCCAAACAGATCAGGAGGCTGGGAGATATTATGAGGTGGTCTAATACTTTTAACAGTCAGTATGCTGTGAGAAGTGGTTATAACAGGATGCAATCTAGAACATGTTATCAAGGAAGGAGTAATAAAGTTGCACGTTCATTTACAATGCCTAAGGAGTTATGGCAAATTATATGGAAGTTATAGGCCCCACCAAAAGTTAAAATGTTTCTCTGGAATATTGTCACAGGATCTTTGCCAACTAAATGGAGTCTATGGAGAAGAAATATGATGAATCTCCCAAGTGCCTGATCTGTGGAGAGGAGGAGGAGACATTGGAGCTTCTATTTTTGATATGTTCCTGGACTCATAAGATACGGAGTGAATACCCATTAAACTTTCTGATAGATAGAGCTAAAGTCACAAGAATAGAAAAATGGTTTTTGGAAGTCGTGATATCTCTATATTATAATGGAATGGAAGAAGGTATAGGACAATCATTGGTGGCATTCTTGTTGTGGTCCTTCTGGAAAGCAAGAAACTAATGGGTCTTTCAGCACAGATTGATGTCATATAAAGCAGTAATAAACCAAGTTGTATTGACCAATGATGAAATAATTAGTAATAGTAGGCCGAGATGTCAAAGATGGGGAAGGGAATGAAGAGAACTTGCTTGGACTACACCTCTATTGGGATGGATCAAGATTAATTGTGATGGTACTTTTAAGGAGGAGGATCAGAAAGAGGCATACGACATAATAGTTAGGAACCCTGATGTAGCATCCTATGGTGTGAATCTGGGGTGATGTCAGCAAGATCCCCACTGTTGACTGAGGCATGAGCAGTAAGTAATAAGAGCCTGCATAATTGCAGTGGAAAATAACTGTCCAGCAACCATCATAGAATCTGATTCGAAGATGTTGATTGAGTCTCTACAAAATGACATCCAAGTGAGAAAGAAATGATCCAACTGGATACTTGGGAGTTTGCTAAGAAAATGACTGCTCTGGAATGGAGGGTGATTGGAAGAGAAAGTAACAGTCTATTGGGTAGCCTCTCAGACTCAGACTATTAGAGGAAATCTTCATGCACAATGGAACTATTGTTTGCCTACAGAATTGCAGAATATATATTCTAGGGATGTCCAAGCTGGTATAGGATGAAATGACTAAACTTGTATTGATTGTTTGTTTGGTACCAATGAATTGATGGTTTTTGAGCCCAAAAAAATAACAACAAAAAGTTCACATCCCCCAGATTGCAAATATAAACCAAAAAAGATACAACTAAACAGCCACAACCACAACAAAAGCAAAATTAAAATAAAGTTAGGTATAACAAGCCAACAATGCCCTTATTCTAAGCAAGCAAATGAAAGGAAACAATAGCCCCGCATCTATTGTTTCACAAACACATCTAACCAACTCAACAAGAAAAATCCTAAAATGAACAAATTAACTTAAATTCAATCTCAACAGGCTTGCCATTACAATCACCAATCTTAATGCACCAACTTTTTAAAAAAAAAAAACCACCATATTGATCATCTCAATCCAATTTTCACCAACATTTTGGTGAATTATACATACATAAATACACAAGTAAATCTTAATAGACAAACCTGTAAAATAGGATTAGGTTGATCACAGAAATAATACTCCACAGAAAGTACCGCATTGGTGCCCTTAGAGCCGCACAAAACATGAGCAAATCGCCTGCATCAAGAGAGAGAGAGATTAGATACTGCAAATAATCGTAGGCACCGAAGGTGTGGAAGTAATGGATGCGTTTGGTGAAAGTGCCTTCGAAGATTGGCCATTGACCGCAGAGGAATGGATGTAATGATGGTTAGCAGCTCAAGAGTCCACAGAATTTATACATAATTTAATAACGTTATTAACTACCTAAAGATAGGATAGGCATTTGTTAATTTGTTGAGGTTACTTTAGTCAAACAAAATTTTTTTACTTTTATTGACATTTAGAAGTAGTATAGATATATATGTGTGTGTATTTCTATATAGTAGGTACAAGTTAGGACATGTCATATTATATAAAAAATAACAACTCATTCTCGATCCGTTTATATAATCGTATATAGTTCGATTGGCATCGTGTCAGGCTAGTGACATGTATGAGTTACTCAGCTGTGTTGATGATATAATGTTAACATGTTTAGCTCATATAGTCTCAATAGCTTGATTTGTTTGTACTTGTTTATAATGGAATAGTGTCGTAGAAAAATCATGTTTAAAAAAAAATTGTATACACTTATTTATTAAACATAATTAATGAATCTAAATTCATGTCTAATTGGGTTAAGATTGATGAATTGGTTTAAAAATTGTTAATGTTTATATGTTTGTTCCATATTCGTTAAATTAGAAAACCTCACTACTCTTTTATATTGTAAATCAACCTCCTCGTGTAAATGGTAAAAAACACCAAAGCAATATACATTTGTTATTCATTCTCTATTCTCTTCTTTCACATGGTATCAAAGCCTAGGCTCGTGAGTCCTCTGGTCAAGGATAGTATGATCTGTGGTTGTCCTTTGAGGGATCCTCCACATTAGAATTTTTGAGGCTCTTCTTCTTCGGGTTGTCCTCTGACAACCTCTTCAGTCATTTAACAGCGTCGTTTCGGCCATCCTCTGGCGTCGAAGGTCGGTGCCACTCCAACAATCTTCAGCGCCATTCCGGTCATCCTCCATAAACTTTTCATTCACCTCCGGGCATCCTCCGATGACCTTTCGATCGCCCTCTGGCGATGTTCTGACCTGCCCGACTGTCCTATGGCGATGTTTCGGTCGCCTCCGGCCATCTTTTGTCGACCTCCGACTATCCTCTGATGACCTTCTAATCACCCTCCAGTGATGTTCCAACCTGTCACAACCATCCTCCAATTATCATCTGGTTGCCCTCCGGCCACATGCTGACTTGCCCAGCAATCCTCTGACAATATTTCAATCTCTTTCCAACCATCCTTTGGCAACCTTCGACTATCCTCCGAGAGCTTTTATGTTGTCCTTCAATGACATTCTGACTTGGCCTGGTCATCCTCTGATAACTTTTCGATCACCCTCCTGTGACATTCTGACCTGCCCCGACCATCCTCTAATTGTCCTCCGACGACGTTCTGATATGCTCAAGCGATGTTCCGATCGCCTCTTGGCCATTGTCTAGTGACCTCCGGGTGTCCACCAGCAACTTTTTGGTCATCCTCTGACGACATTATAACCTGCCTTGCCCGTCATCCAATGACTTTCCAATCCATTCCCAACCATCTTGATTTGTCTCGGTCTTATTTCGGTTTCATTCCGATCTGCTCTGACCATCTTCCTGCGGCCCTCTAATATTTATTATGATAACCATAGTGCTATTGCTTACAATGATGTCTTTTATGAGCGCACAGAATAAATCGAGATTGATTGTCATTTTATGCGTCATCGCCTACAGGAGGACGCTCTTTGTCTTTTATATCAACTGACTGATATCTTCACGAAGGCTCATACACTTGGTTGTCATCAGGATTTAGTTTGTAAACTCCACTTGGCATCTTCGATCCCACCTTGAGTTTGAGAGGATGTTAATGTTTATATGCTTGTCCCATATCGGTTAATCTACGAAATCTCACTATTGTCTTATACTATAAATCAACCTCCTCATGTATATAATAAAAAACACTAAAACAATATACATTTGTTATTCATTCTCTATTCTCTTCTTTCACAAAAATAAAGAATATAAAACTAGAATAGGGCAATGTTCTAGAGCAATTGAGAGATAACTTTGGAATGCGAGTACACTGGCATTACATGCTGCAATCAGAGGTCATGAGATTGAGGACACGTAATAAGGTCTAAAGCCTACTAGTATTTAAGAAACAATTAATAAAAAAAAAACGAAAATTGGCCATAACTCTATCTAGATGTCCTTTTTTGTCTTCTAGTCCAGGAATTGCACTTTTATGGCGTTAAATTCACATCAGCGGCATTTTTTTGGTCTTGTAGTCCAATCTAAAGGTAAATCTGTAAATACTTGGATTGTTGGTGTAACACTCATACCCGATGTTGACAAACATTAATATACCAAAAAACACACATAATACATCAACAAAACATAGACACCTACACACCTTAACACACAATTACATAGACACGACACAAACTAATACACCCTCCCACATACTTCTAAGACACACTAATATACCACAAAATAAACACATACACACACCTCAATTCACCAAAATACATACACTCAAACACATACACACACTAATCTAACAAACAAATAAACTCAAAGACAAACAATTATAGAAACACAAACTAACACATACAAAAAAAAAATACACGCTCTGGTCCCACACACTAATACCACAAAAAACACCCATACACAGATACACCAAAGAAACTAAGATACCAATATAGAAAATAAATACACAAACTAATCATTGGCTAAATTTTACAGGATGGATCAATGATCAATGTAACACTCGCATATTGCACATTTAAATTCGATGGGACGTGTCAAAGATGCATAAGAGCATTTACGCTTTGTTGAGTGCTTGTATTAACATTGTATGTGTTTTTGTGTATTAATATATGCATTTTTTTATGTATTAATGTGTACGTGTGTGTATGTATCCGTGGATGTATTAGTGTTTGTGTTAACAATGCATGTAAGCATTGCATGCAGTCTAGTGCCTTAGTGTCATAGGGTAACTTTCGTTTGTCTTTTGAGGCTACCTGTGAAGGCATTGCTATTGCAACCAGCCACACTCCAACTCAAGAATAAGGGACAGAAACTCACATAGAATGCACACACGAATTTACTGGAACAACACTCCCAAACCTTATATATTGAACTCAACAATTTACAAGGACTCTCAAAACCAGAACACTCTCCCCTTTTCAGAATGCTCAAGCACCCCTATTTATACAAGAGGAAGGCAGATGACACCCCCATCTGCCAAGGGGTAGTTACCCATGTTTTTACTATTCCATAGTAGACTGGGCTAGCAGACTTGGTCTCTGTGCAACACCTGGCAGGCAGTTCCACCACTTCCAATAACTGTTGTGGAACTGCCCTTCATCAGCATGTATCTAGACTGGATTCAGACTGGGGACGTCCAAAACTGCCTCAGCAACTGCCTTGACAGAGTCTCAGCATCATAACCATCCACATCCTCCTTGTCACATGCATTGAGCAGTCATGTATCAGTCAGGTGCCCACATTCAGCAATCAACCTTGCTACACGAACCAATGTGCATGCTGGNGGTGTCCACCAGCAACTTTTTGGTCATCCTCTGACGACATTATAACCTGCCTTGCCTGTCATCCAATGACTTTCCAATCCATTCCCAACCATCTTGATTTGTCTCGGTCTTATTTCGGTGACATTCCGATCTGCTCTGACCATCTTCCTGCGGCCCTCTAATATTTATTATGATAACCAATAGTGCTATTGCTTACAATGATGTCTTTTATGAGCGCACAGAATAAATCGAGATTGATTGTCATTTTATGCGTCATCGCCTACAGGAGGACGCTCTTTGTCTTTTATATCAACTGACTGATATCTTCACGAAGGCTCATACACTTGGTTGTCATCAGGATTTAGTTTGTAAACTCCACTTGGCATCTTCGATCCCACCTTGAGTTTGAGAGGATGTTAATGTTTATATGCTTGTCCCATATCGGTTAATCTACGAAATCTCACTATTGTCTTATACTATAAATCAACCTCCTCATGTATATAATAAAAAACACTAAAACAATATACATTTGTTATTCATTCTCTATTCTCTTCTTTCACAAAAATAAAGAATATAAAACTAGAATAGGGCAATGTTCTAGAGCAATTGAGAGATAACTTTGGAATGCGAGTATACTGGCATTACATGCTGCAATCAGAGGTCATGAGATTGAGGACACGTAATAAGGTCTAAAGCCTACTAGTATTTAAGAAACAATTAATAAAAAAAAACGAAAATTGGCCATAACTCTATCTAGATGTCCTTTTTTGTCTTCTAGTCCAGGAATTGCACTTTTATGGCGTTAAATTCACATCAGCGGCATTTTTTTGGTCTTGTAGTCCAATCTAAAGGTAAATCTGTAAATACTTGGATTGTTGGTGTAACACTCATACCCGATGTTGACAAACATTAATATACCAAAAAACACACATAATACATCAACAAAACATAGACACCTACACACCTTAACACACAATTACATAGACACGACACAAACTAATACACCCTCCCACATACTTCTAAGACACACTAATATACCACAAAATAAACACATACACACACCTCAATTCACCAAAATACATACACTCAAACACATACACACACTAATCTAACAAACAAATAAACTCAAAGACAAACAATTATAGAAACACAAACTAACACATACAAAAAAAAAATACACGCTCTGGTCCCACACACTAATACCACAAAAAACACCCATACACAGATACACCAAAGAAACTAAGATACCAATATAGAAAATAAATACACAAACTAATCATTGGCTAAATTTTACAGGATGGATCAATGATCAATGTAACACTCGCATATTGCACATTTAAATTCGATGGGACGTGTCAAAGATGCATAAGAGCATTTACGCTTTGTTGAGTGCTTGTATTAACATTGTATGTGTTTTTGTGTATTAATATATGCAATTTTTTATGTATTAATGTGTACGCGTGTGTATGTATCCTTGGATGTATTAGTGTTTGTGTTAACAATGCATGTAAGCATTGCACGCAGTCTAGTGCCTTAGTGTCATAGGGTAACTTTCGTTTTTCTTTTGAGGCTACCTGTGAAGGCATTGCTATTGCAACCAGCCACACTCCAACTCAAGAATAAGGGACAGAAACTCACATAGAATGCACACACGAATTTACTGGAACAACACTCCCAAACCTTATATATTGAACTCAACAATTTACAAGGACTCTCAAAACCAGAACACTCTCCCCTTTTCAGAATGCTCAAGCACCCCTATTTATACAAGAGGAAGGCAGATGACACCCCCATCTGCCAAGGGGTAGTTACCCACGTTTTTACTATTCCATAGTAGACTGGGCTAGCAGGCTTGGTCTCTGTGCAACACCTGGCAGGCAGTTCCACCACTTCCAATAACTGCTGTGGAACTGTCCTTCATCAGCATGTATCTAGACTGGATTCAGACTGGAGACGTCCAAAACTGCCTCAGCAACTGCCTTGACTGAGTCTCAGCATCATAACCGTCCACATCCTCCTGGTCACATGCATTGAGCAGTCATGTGCCAGTCAGGTGCCCACATTCAGCAGCCATGTGCCCACATTCAGCAATCAACCTTACTACACGAACCAATGTGCATGCTGGGTTCAACCCATGCCATGCAATCCGAAGCTCTGCACCCACATTGCTTCAATTGAGCCCACCCATGCTGCCATGCTCAACCGGGTGGTCTCATGCTGCCTTGGTTCGCCCCAATCTGTCAAACCACTTAGCCGCATCACCTTGATTCCGATTTCTAGCATGCCTTGGTGCAAGGTGCCACCAAGACCGGCCATTTGCACCCAAGTCAATTAGGGTGTGACACTTAGTATATATGTGCGTTTTGGTGTATTAGTATGTAAGTGTTTTTGGTGCATTAGTGTGTATAGGTGTATCTTTTTTTCATAACTTGTAAATTAAAGGTTCATCTAAAATATAACAATTAAATCAAGTTTTTTAATAGCAGTGAAATCTTTCAAACACAGCCACAATTATTAAAAAAATATATCATTAATATTTAAAAATAAAAGCTAGAATATCCACTCAAACACATCCAAAAAAAATAGTCACGTGGACCAACAAAAATCACCATAATTCATTTGTATAAAGAGCAACATGATGTAGGATCTTCAATCTTCAACATTAGTGTCTGCAAGAAATCTTAAGCAAAGAATTGAGATCAAAGACAATAATTAAGAATATTACAAGAAGAGAAGAAAAGAAAAAACTAAAAAAATCAATACCACAAAATATTCAAAAAAAATTCAACACCTGTCACAAGC